GGCCCCCGCCGCCGCCCCGGCAGCGCAGCGCGCCCCGCGCAGGTACCGCACCGCCCGCTGCAGCTCTGGTGGAGGACCCCGGCCTCGAGCCTGCGCTCCCTTAGGCTGGGGGCAGGGGGGCTAGACCTGTGTGTGCGCGTGTGTCAGCTCGACCCACTCCCTCATAGACCCGTGTGTGCATGTGTAAGCTAGACCAGCTCCTCATAGACGTGTGTCAGCTAAACTGACTCCTTGTAGACCTGAGTGTCAACTAGACCAGCTCCCTCCTAGACGTGGGGGCGTGATGGGGGGGAGCTGCCTGACCCAGTTCCCTTGCAGAACACCTTCTTGTAGCCTGGTCTCTTGTAGACCCCTCTGCAAAACCCGTCTCCTTTGCACCGGTCCTCCCAGTGCAGGCTCACCCCGCTGAAGTCACTTGGGTAACTCAAGTGTCAGTGGCTTGAGAAGCAGGCTGAGGGCAGAGGGCACGTGTGGTGACAGTCAGCAGGGGCAGATACCAGTTGCAAAGGTTGCTGCTAAAGATTCCTGCCCCCCCATTTTAAGTAATGGACAGAGTGCTCATTCACAAAAATGTGTGTGCTCTTGTCCCTGATAAAGGTGTAGCAGAGCCAAAGGGGGAGGGGGAACCACAGCGCCTGACAGTCCAAGCTTGTGAATGAGGGTGTTCAAGGATCTGACTGGAGCAGCACATGGGAAAGGGGCGGAGAGAGGGAGTGGAGCTGAAAGTCAGACAAGGGCACAGTGTCTACGGTAAGGGAGGTGGTGTGGTTGTAGGGTCACCATAGCAATCTGTGTCTTGGCAGGAGCCAGGAACCCTGCACTGTGCCTTCCACGTGGAGCCCAATGATCTCATTCAGGCTTCTGAGTCAGTCTTTCATTTGCAAGGACTCTGATCATGTGCTCTTGGCCAAGGTTGCTTTTGGGGATTTACTGGGGCAGCAAAGGTGATTTAGTGGGTGACATTATGTTAACACTGCTCAGGTTACGGAGAACAAAACCCATTCATTTTGAACGTAGGTGTGTAGCCACAAGTGTAGCATTCCATTTCATGGGCATTCGGCCTTCAATAATAGCCTATTAGAGGCAAATCGCTTTTACCATAGCATTTTATTTCTTGGTCTGTTTCAGATTCCTTAGTGTGATTGTTCACGGCCCCATTTCTGTTGTGTTCATGGGCAGTTTTCTTTCTCTTTTTTTTCTAATGCAGAGACTGGAAGCACAAGGAAAAAACGATTTGTGTCCAGCCCGCGCTATGTGGAAACCATGCTTGTAGCAGACCAGTCCATGGCAGAGTTCCATGGCAGCGGGTTGAAGCATTATCTTCTGACTCTGCTGTCTGTGGCAGCCAAATTGTACAAACATCCCAGTATCCGAAACCCTATAAGTCTGGTGGTGGTAAAAATTTTGGTCATCTATGATGAGCAGAAGGGACCTGATATTTCCTCTAATGCTGCACTCACCTTAAGGAACTTCTGCAGCTGGCAAAAGCAGCACAATCCACCCAGTGACCGCCATGCAGAGCACTATGACACAGCCATCCTGTTCACCAGACAGGTAAGACAGAGAGAGTTTGGCCTTATTTCATATGCAACCTGCCTTCGAGCCTTCATTACTTTTACTCACAGTCCATGCAAAAAACTATTTCATTCGCAATCCACGTGAGTAAATCATTTAACGGTATTAACTTGAGTAAGTGGGATAATAATTAACTGCCTTTTTATGGCATTTGTTATCTCAGATGTCTTGTACATTAGTTAGACATTCTTCATGCACGCAACCCTCTTCTGCTTCTAGAGGAAGATTTTTGCCATCATACCTATTAAAATACTGAGTCTGCATGCTCTTTCCATAAGTATAGGCAAACTGCCAAGGTAGGATTCTTCTTGCCAAGGTTAAGTCTCTGACCTGATTAATAATAAAACTGCCTTTTTTATAGGATCTCTGCGGTGCCAAGACATGTGATACTCTTGGGATGGCTGATGTGGGAACAGTCTGTGATCCAAACCGCAGTTGCTCTATCATAGAAGATGATGGTCTGCAGGCTGCCTTTACAACAGCTCATGAACTTGGTAATTCAACTTGGAAATGAGATTTGAGTTGATTTTAATTGGGAGTAACTTCATTATTCTAGGGCCTGTATTTGGGCCCAATTCAGTGAGGGGCTGATTACCTGCACCTCTTGGAGGCAGTCAGCCCCTGTTGGGGACACAGCAGGATTGTCCTTAGAATCATAGGGCTGGAAGGGACCCAGAAGGATCATCAGGTCCAGCCCCTTGCATGAACCAGAAAGATGACCCCAGCCAGGTGACCATCCAATCTTCTCTTGAAGACCTCTAGGGTAGATGATTGCACCACCTTGGAAGTGGGGGAGCTTGTTCCATAGTCTGGACACCCTAGTTATAAAGTTTTTCCTAATGTTCAGCCTGAAACTATCTTCCAGGAGTTTATGGCCCAGGGCACCCTGTTAAACAGTTGTTCACTGAGCCTCTGATATAGCAGTAAGCTGCAATCAGGTCCCCTTTCAGCCTTCTTTTCTTTAGGCTGAAGAGTCCAAGATCCCTCCTCCTCTCCTTGTATGGCTTGCCGTGCAAGCCCCGATCATGTGGGTGGCCCTTCTCTGGACCCTCTCAAGTTTTAACATATCCTTGTTGAAGTGCAGCACCCAGAACTGGACACAATACTCCAGCTGCAGCCACACCAATGTTGAGTAAAGTGGGAGAATCACTTCTTTGGATTTACTGGAGAAGCATCGATTGATGCATGCCAGAGTTTTATTGGCCCTAGCGGTTACTGTGTCACATTGCCACATTCCAGATCCCTTTCATTTGTGGGGTGGTCAAGTTAGCAATGCCCAGCCTATAGGTGTGCTGGGGGTTCTTCCTTCCTAGATGCAGCACTTTGCATTTCTCCATGTTGAACCTCATCTGGTTCCATTCTGCCCAACATGCCAGCCTGTCTAGGACTGCTTGTAGACCTAGCATTAGTTGTAAAAGCTGTTTGTTTTGAGTACAACTGCAAAAAAAAAAAAGTTTGTTTGTGTTTGTTTGTTTGTTTGTTTGTTTGTTTGTTTGTTTGTTTGTTTGTTTGTTTGTTTTAATTGAACACATGCAAGAAGTAATGACAAAGTGGGGTCTGTTTTAAAACTTAAAGTATTTAGGTCATGGATGTCTTTAAGTATCACAGTGCACTCTGCAATTTGTTCAAGGCTAACATTTAAAAGAATATTTGCTAACGCATAGGACAGACTTCATAAATTATCACGGATTTTTTTTATTTATTTATTTTTTAGGCCATGTGTTTAACATGCCCCATGATGACGCAAAGCAGTGTGCCAGTATTAATGGAATAAACCAGGATTCCCATATGATGGCATCTATGCTTTCCAATCTGGATCGAAGCCAGCCTTGGTCTCCATGTAGTGCCTATATGATTACCACATTTTTGGATAATGGTCATGGTAAGTACTTTAAGCTTTCCATTCAGGCTCGTACAGTTTAGAATTTTACTGGCACTTAAATATTTTTGTTACTAGTTAAGATGAAAAAAAAACCCCAAAACCCTACCTTTATGCAAGCCCTTTTTGCAATCCCTTCTGCTATGGAACAGCAGTCCAAGGTTATAAAATTATTTGGCTACTGGTAACATTAAGTAATAAGAGATTTATTTCATTGTCCCACAAAACTGTTGGCATAATGAAGGCTGCACAGCTATTTGAACAAAAAAGCTAAGTACAGAGAAAATGTATCTTTCCCCCTTCATTGAAACTAACACACTGATCACAACTTTTTCTTTAGGTGAGTGTTTATTGGATAAGCCCCACAAACCTATACAGCTTCCCTCTGACCTCCCAGGAACATTGTATGATGCCAACAGACAGTGCCAATTTACGTTTGGAGATGAGTCCAAACATTGTCCTGACACAGCCAGCACGTGTACAACATTGTGGTGTACTGGCACGTCTGGAGGATTGCTTGTATGCCAAACTAAACACTTTCCATGGGCAGACGGCACCAGTTGTGGAGAGGGGAAATGGTGCATGAATGGCAAGTGTGTAAACAAAACTGAGAAGAAGCATTATGATGTAAGTTTTTTTTTTTTTCTTTTTTTTTTATATAAATAATTAAAAATAACCTTAAATGTAATATGCTTTAACTGGTAGAGAAATCTGAGTAATATTTTAGTTGAAGAAATCAGAACTACTTCTGATACTTGGGTAAACTGCCAGCTGTAGCTAATAAAATAAACATGCAATCTTCTGCAGGGGGCTTAATTTAGCATTTTTTTAATGTAGTTACTTTAACAAATTCTGGGGAGTTTAAAAAAACAATCTTAAATTTTCTTTTTTTCTATCTCTTGTCATTTCTCAGACTCCTGTTCACGGAGGTTGGGGGTCATGGGGACCCTGGGGAGACTGCTCAAGGACATGTGGTGGAGGAGTACAGTACTCTTTCAGAGAGTGTGATAATCCCATTCCAAAGAATGGAGGAAAATACTGTGAAGGAAAACGGGTGCAGTACCGCTCATGTAACATTGAGGACTGTCCAGATAACAATGGTAAGGTGCAACTTCTATTTGAAACCAAGGAAGGGAATATTGTGGAGAAGGAGTTAAAGATGAGGATCTAACATCTGCTTAATTTTTTCCTCTACGTGCAGGCAAAACTTTCAGGGAGGAACAGTGTGAAACACACAATGACTTTTCCAAATCCCCTTTTGGAAGTGGACCTGCAGTGGAATGGACACCAAAGTTTGCTGGCGTGTCTCCAAAGGACAGATGCAAGCTTGTTTGCCGAGCAAAAGGGACCGGATATTTCTTTGTTCTGCAACCTAAGGTATTTCTTAAGTTCCAACTTCTCTCTTAAGCTTTAAATGAGAGCTCTTATCTCTTCTGTCTTGGGCACGTACATGTGCATATGCTGTGTGTGTGGTTTTTTTGTGGTGTTTTATTTCAAACACCAGGCCAAAAGCTGTGAAAAGCTAAAATAATAATAATAATAATTGCAAGCTTTTCAGTTCATATAAGTCAGATTCTTCTTTCTCCTGTCCCACATACAATCTAATCCTATCAATACAAATATATGGGTACTCTTCCAAGCTGAGGAAGAAACTGAGAATCTACTTTATGCATATTTCTGCCTTCCCCCCTCACCTCCAAAGCTTTATTTCATGTAAATTTCCACAGAAAATTACCATTTTTAACCAGAGTTAACCCTCTATCTTAAGAGTGAATATTGGCTTTCTGTTGCCCATAGTTCCTGAAAGGCTG